CCTGTCAATGTGGATGTTGGGTAATAAAACCTTGCACAAACCTCTGAGCGGGGCTGCATGCATCTCCCTCCACTGGGGCTTAGTGGGGCCAGGAGACAATAGGGCAATCCAGGGAAGACTCACGGGGACATGAAGTCAGGCCAAGCCCACGGTGGGATTCTCCTTCCATCTGGCACCAGCCTGGCCTGGAACCAGCACCTTCTGCCAGGAGAGATGACCGCAGTCTGGCTGAGACCCCTGGGCAGATGGGCTGATGGCCACAGGACACCCTGATCCCTGTGGGACAGGTTTATTTGCACCCTCTGAATACAACATCACCAAAGCAGCTGCCGGAGTCCTGCTCTGACACTGCTGCACCCTGTGCACCTGCTCACAAGTCCGTGGTGGTGAAGGTGGTGTTGATATATGCTGTTTTGGGCTCCTTCAGGTTCAGGGCAGCCACCAGTACCTCCTTGTCTGTGGGGTCCGTCGGCTGTGCCTTGTCCTGCTGCAGGAGGAGAGTGTGGTCAGAGGGGATGGGGAAAGCACTGGGGGACAGGGTCACTCCCATCCTTCCCAGGAGCTGTGAGCTGTCAAGGGGATGGAGAGGAAGGGTCCAGGAGTCCAGGAACTACAGCAGAGAGGAGAGGATGTGGGGTGCAGTGGCAGGGCGCCCTGCTGGGCACCAGCAGTTCTTTGCACACTCACCTTGGCCTTGATTTTGTGGTCCCCCGGTGAATCTACTGAGTTTTCATCCAGGGAGTTCATGCTGTGGGGAGTGGAGGGTGGAAGGTAGAAAAGGGCCCAGGCACTGATGGAGTGTGGACGCAGGATGACGACCCCATGGCCTTTGGGACCTGCCAGCAGAACTCACCTGGCCACAGAACTGGAGTCCTCATGGAAGCCCAGGTCATGGGAGGGATCGAGTGAGAGATTCAGCATGGGGTTAGCCCTGTCCAGGGATGGGTGGCAGGTGAGTGACTATCCCATGGGGCTGCAGGAGCAGCCCGAGGTAGCTGTGCCACCTCAGGCAGGAGGAGTGTGACAGCGAGCCCTGTAGCCCTTGGGTGTGGGGACATGCCCAGGCTCTGCCCTCCTGCCCTGGGGAACCCCCTACTCACCCCTCAGCGTTGTACTGGTTGGTCCCGGGGATGCCGGCTCCTTGCTGTGTCATGGCAGGGTTGAACGTTGTGGCGACCTTCAGAGCCTTCATTGCGTTTAGCTTCCTCTTGTAGCTGCAGAGCCCAGGGACAGGGTGAGTGAGAGGGGCAGGGGGTGAGCTGGGCCATGAGATGGAGTGGGCAGGAGTGGGGTGGAGAGTAAGGTTGGGCCGCAGGGTGCCCTTGAGGATGGGGTGGGTGGTGGAGGTGGGAGGCAGGAGAGGGTGTGCCCTGTGTGATACCTCCTGGTGGTGAGAACCAAGACCAAGGTCATGATGAGGATGAAGATGAGCAGGAATACTGCCAGCCCTGCGATGACACCAATCAGCTCTGGCTCCCTGCTGGTCTCTGCCACCTCCACAGAGCCCTGGTGCAGAGCAGGGATGAGAGCACAGTCACAGCCAAAAAACGGGGCTGGTGCTGTCTCTGTGCCTGTTGCCCAACCCCACTCACAATGGAGGTCAGGCCCAATTGCACCAGCTGAGTCAGGACCTGCCGGTTCGACTGTATGATGCTGCCAAGGAAAGTAAGAAGAGTGAGTGGCAAGGCTGGTCGGGGCACGTGGCAGTGGCCCCCTGCCCTGGCACACACATGCTCAGCTCATTGATGTCCAGGGCAGAGCCATTGCTGTAGACAAAGTAGACTTCCATCACTGCCTTGGGTTCCTCCCTGTGGGATCAAAGAGATGGGGTGAGCCGGGTACAGGATACCATGCTCTGCCCCAGGGCGGTGCCCTCCAATGCCACCGCCGCATCCCCATCCCCACCACCTGCATGGCCCCACTCACTGGGAGGCACGGTTGTCCTCCACTGTCTTGATGCCAACCACGTGGACCTCTGCCTTGGTTGCCGTGGTCAGGGCCCTAGGAATAGGAGGCGTGGAGAGAGGCTGGGGTGGGCATCCTGCTGCTCCGCTCACGGGAAGCAGCTGTACATCCGGCTGCCCCCGTCTCCAGCAGAAATATGCCTGCCTTGGGCCTCTTCACAGTCTAAGCTGGGAGACACAGTCAGTAGGTCCTGGTCTGCATGCTCATGTACCCCTCTGCACAGCCATATCCCACCCCCAGCCCAGCATCCCTTACACTATGATCTTTTCGATGTTCTTCTGGACTTCATCCACCGTTACCACAAACAGGAGGCGAATGCGGTAGCTCTGATCTACTGTGAAAATCTGCACAAGGAGAGCAAAGGTGAGCAGGGCTGGGCAGGGCACAGGGCTCGACCAGACGGGAAGGACAGAGGTGACACTCACAGTCAGCACAGTCTCTGCTGTGTGCACTGGTGCTTCGCCATCCTGAGCACTGACTGTCACCTGGTACTGCCCCTTCAGCGAGCCATCGAGGTTGCTGACCACCCTGTGAGGATGGAGACATCGACAATCCCATGGGACATCCCTGGGAAGGCACTGCCATCCTCCAAGCACCACCCTGCCACGGCAGGACCCCAGAAGATGGCTTTGTCCCCTTGCCAGCCCGTACCAGTCCTGCCTGCACCTCTGCCTTGTGTCAGGCAGGAGCTGAGCCATGTTCCTCCCACCCTGGCCCAGACCCATGGCCTCACTGGATGCTTCCGATGTAGATGTTGTCCTTGGCTGTTGTCTCCACCTTGAAGATGTTCTCAAAGGGCCGACTGGCCCCATTGTTCTCCACAAACACCACACTCACAATATTGAAGGTGATGGTTCCCCTCAGCCCTGAGTCAGCATCTGTGGCCTGCAGGGGCAAAATGTGGCAAAAGCACGGATGGGAACAGCCACTACCCGTCCCCGATGGGGCCAGGGGAGCCCAGCTCCACAGACTGACAAACGCATGCACACAGCTCCTTACCTGCACAGTAGCCACTGGCAGGTTCTCAGAAGAGGTCTCGGGGACAACGACTGCCGGCGACAGATAGACAGTGCGGTCATGCTGGTGTGCAGTCAGGCTTGCTGCAGACCCCATGCCCGCACAGCCCCGGAGCTAAGCAATGCTCCAAGCATCCTCCCGCTGCCTTTGGCCCCACAGTCTTCATGGAGAGCATCAAGTAACCCCAGCCTGGCCCCTGCACCTCTCACAACCCTGCTCTGGCTGGGGGAAGGTCTCCACCGCTGAGGAGCATGGCAGAGCATGAGTGGGTGCAGAGAGGAACCCTCAGGACACGCGGACTCTGGCTGCTCACCAAAGGTCTTCGAGATGGGAAGGAAGTATGGCGCATTGTCATTCACATCATTGATGAGGATCGTCAGGGTTTCTGCAAATGCCCCAAAAGCAGAGCTCTGGTCACCAACAGAGCAGCCCTGCAGCACCCTCCTCTCCTTCCTTGGGAGTCCCACCCTCCCAGCAGACTCAGGTCACTGTGGCAGGGACCAAAAGAGACGGGGCACCCTTCCCTCATCACCAAACCACCCAGCTCCCGGTCTGCTCCTCACAGCTCCTCCTGGGAGATGGGAGAGGCGGCGGGTGCTGGGTGCCGTACCATTCTGGCTGTAGCGGTTGCCTTTCTCGGTGTACAGGTCTTCAACCCGCAGCGTGAGCACCACCCTGTCGCACAGCTCGTAGTCAATGTAGGAGCTGTTCACCAGCACTGAGCCGTTGGGTGCCAGCACAAACCAGTTCCAGCACACCTCCCCAGCACTGTCTGCCCCCTTGAAGCAGGTGACTGCCAGCTCCTCGAAGACCAGCGAGTGGTTGGTGTCCGGGTCAAAGGCTTCCAGTGTGCGGACCAGACCATGCTGTGTGCCGTTCTCACTCACATCCAAGTCCTTCAGCGAGTCAGGCAGGATGGTGGGGGGCTCATCATTGATGTCTAGGATGTGGACTGAGACGTTAACAGTGCTTCTCATGTTGTCTGAGGCCGTGTTCTCTGCCAGCACCTCCAAGAGGAAGAACTTCTGCTGCAGGGTGTCATAGTCCAGGGATATGTCAGGGTCCACAGACAGCTGCCCACTATAGTACCCTGGCTCCAGGCGGACCGAGCGGATCAAGAAGTTGCTGGAGCCACCGCCCCTCACAATTTGGAAGGAAATGCGGGAATTGATCTCTGTCCTATCAGCATCTGTGGCCTCCACCTCACCCACAGGGGACCCTGCAAATGGAGACAGACATTCAGTGGCCTGTGGACACTGACTCTGGACACCGCTGGTCTCACAAGTCTGGCCACGCAAATTCTACCTGGAGAGTCCTCAAAGACTGAAAACGTATAGGACTGATTGAGGAACTTGGGTTCATTGTCGTTTAGGTCCTGTAAGAGACAAAGGCCATGGTTGTAGCCACTCCAGGAAACAGGGTTCCCTAAAGCAGGCTGGGGACAGGAGTGGGGACACCTGCCCACCCCCAGGCAGGAGGTACACAAGCCCTCCCCTGGGTCCCTGTATCAACTATTCCCTCTGCCCCCACAGAGTGCCCGGGGGCACAGTGTCCCTATCACAGCTAGGGACCCCTCCCTGCCCATCCATCCCAGCTTCAAATTCTGGCCTGTCTTAGTGTGTCCCTGCTTGTGCCCAGGGCTCACCTCCACAGTGATGGTGACGTTCACTGAGGTGCTGAGCTTTGGCACGCCATGGTCGTACACCTCCACCGTCACCACTATCTGTCCCTGCTCATCTTCCAAGGCCTCACGGTCCAGCGGCTCCTTGCTGTGCATCTCACCTGTGGTTGCGTTGATGGTGAAGTTGTTGCTGAAGGGTCCTGGCAAGATCCTGAAGCCCAGTTCGCTGTTGGGGTTGCCAGGTTCATCATTATCGATGGCCTGAAAAGGTCAGGGGTTGGAACAGGGCTGTCTGGCACCTCGAGGACAGTCCCTGCTCCTCTCCAACAGCCCCCCGTCATCCCTTCCACCTCTGTTGGTGCATACCTGGATCTGTGTACTGATGTTCTGTCCCTCTTGCACTGAGATGAAGTAGGAGCCAACAACAACAGGCTCCTTGTCGTTGGCATCCAGCACAGTGATCTCCAGCACTGTGGTACCCACCAGGTTGCCCCCATCCTTGGCCTGGAGGTTGACGTAGTACATGGAGCGAGTCTCCCGGTCCAGCAAGCTCCCGTTCCGCACCAGCACTGCCCCAGTTGTGGCGTTCACCATAAAGATGTTTCGGCTGTGGCACACACAGAGCCATCACCGGGGCTCAGGCCTGGAGCCCCCTCACCAGGACGATGCCCCAGTCATGACCGGCCATGCCCCTACATACATGCTCTCTGGGAGGAGCTGGTAGGTGATCTGGCCCAGGACACCGCTGTCTGGATCATAGGCCTAAAAGAGACAAGGATGTGTCTGCTCGATCTGTCTCAGCTTCTAGAGCAGCGGTCAGCCCTGGGGCACTGACCACTGACAATACACACCCCAAAAACCTGTCCCTGTGTGGCACAGAGTCCCACACCCTGTGTGCCTGCTGGCACCGTCTCCTTCCTGTGTGTGTGGAGAGACCAGTGCCCTCAACACAAGCTGCACTAGTGGTGCCAGGCATGCCCAGTGCCCTGCTTAGGGGACATCAGCTGTGTCTGCTCCCTGCCCAGTGCCTGACCGTGATGTTTGAGGCAATGATGGTGCCATCAGGGCTATTCTCCATCACTCTGAGGCTGTAGGTGCTCTCGGGAAACTCAGGGATGTGGTCATTGCTGTCAATGAGGTCAATGGTCACAGTGGCTGTGGAGCAGCAGTCCGTGGGCTTGCCTGTGTCATTAGCAACGATCTGCAGGACAGAGAAAGAGACAGTGTCTCACATGGGTCTCCAAATGTGAGAAAGAGACCTGTCGTATTCCAGCCCAGCTGCCCTGTACTAAACAAGGTGCCAGGGCAGAGCCATGTTCTTCTTTAACTTTTGAACCCTGCAGAAGTGCTGTGTCCTCCCTGTACCCTGGCATATGCAGGTACTGCCCTGATGGTGAGTCAGCCCTACAGGTCCCACCTGCACTTCCATGACGTGGCTTATCTCATAGTCCACAGCAGACGAGTTTAGCACCAGCAGCTGGACCTCCCCTGTGCCCACAATCCTCGTGGGGGAGACAGTGAAGGCACCGGCATTTGGACCCTGCAGGTACAGCTCATAAGTGCTGTTGATGCCCTGCCGGGGAGAGACATACAGGAGTGAGGGTGGGTGGTGACGCAAGGACAGACATATGCACCCTGACCCAGACCCCTGGATATGTTTCCACCTTGTCTGCGTCGTGGGTGACAATGTTGAGATTGGACACGGGCAGTCTGGGGGAGGAGTGCTCTATGACATTGCCCCTGAAGTTGTTCTGGGGACTGGTAGAGAAGTCACAGCTGGGGAGGGAGCAGTTGTAGAACTGTGGCTTGTTGTCATTGACATCGGTCACCACGACTGTCACCAGAGTGCTGGTCCATGCCTCCATGTCGTAGATGTTCAGATTCTTCTCACGTGCCTGCTCAGGAGGAGTGAGTAGGTCAGAGGGACCCAGGGAGGGGAAGAGGATGGTGTTCCCTTTGCTGTCTCCTACTCACCATGACTTCCAGCAACACCTCCTCGCTTGGCAGTGTCTCACGGTCCAGGAACCCACTCACAGTGATGATGCCCGTTGTGTCATTGATAGCAAAGGGGACACTGGTGTCTAAGGGAGAGTGGACAGCCGGAATCAGCTGCAGCCACAGGGAAATGTGAGTCTGGCCCCCCCTGCTGTCAGGGCAGGCTGACAGTTCCTGGAAACCCAGAACCAGTCTCCGTGGTGTCCCTTGCTGTCTGATCTCTCCACCTGCCCGTCCCACCTTGCCACTGCTCATTCCCTGCCCATCCCACCCTGCTCCATCACTCACTGGTGATGTTGTAGAAGATTTCATCTAGAATCCCTGTATCTCTGTCCACGGCAGTGACCGTCAGCACAGTGGTGCCCTACGGGGACATGACCATCAGGGCAGGACTTTGACATCTCCAGCCATCCCTCAGGGTGTCAGAGCCCCAGTGAAGATTAGGGGTAGGGACATGCCACTGGGGCACATAAGCTTCTTACCAGGTCACAGTTTTCAGGCACAGAGCCAGTGTAAGGCTCATTGAGGAACCATGGGTCTAGGTTGGGCAGGTCTTGGATAGGCAGGGACAGGTAGGTCGAGCTGTACTGGATGGTAAAATTGTTGTGCAGCATCCCCCCGCCATCCTGGGGAGCAGAGCACACTTTAATCCCATGGCCCCCTTACCTGGCAGTTCTGCACAGCCAGCTCGGCTGGCCCCCACCTTGGCAAGGATCTTGATCTGGTAGAAGATGTTCTTGGCATAGTCCAGTGAGCCACCAAGAATCACAGTCCCATTGGACAGGATGTAGAAAAGCCGGTAATTTGTTGTGTTGTCTGGGATCACCTGAGCAGGGACATCACCTCGTGTCACCAAGACAGAAAGCAGAGGTTCCCCAGTGGAGACGGGGGCTCAGCCTCCAATCTTCTGCCAGACTTGGCCCCTACCATCTGGCTCATCCCCAGCCTG